ATTTTGGTTTCTAACGGTTTTAACATTTTAACTATCCCGAATAAGATTCTTTCTTCTATCTCAGTTCGAGGAGTCAACTGTGTTTTCCAACAAAATAATATGTAACGCATTTTACATTTTATATGTCTGATACACTTATTTGTTATTTCTTTTATTAAATAAAATTTATTTAATTAATTGATGATGTATACATTTATTTGGACAGTGTTTCTATGATATTAGTTTGTTTTAATAACTCTTAGATTTTAATTTTCTATCAATTATGGTCCTCTTTTAATTGATCTTTATTTACGTACTTATTTAATTCTTTTGAGACTGAAGAAGTCTGTGAGTTCAAAACAGCTTCTATAATATTCAATAACACCAACATATTTTATTATTACTTTTCAACTCACACCTATTAGTTGTCTCATATTGCTTTCTTCATCGTATTATTACAAAAACAAGTTTTAAAAGTGTATTCATAAAATTATTCCAAATTATTGTACTATTTAAAAATGTTCTAAAGTCACCAAACCCATATGCTCCAGTTACGGATTAAGTTACATTATAGGGCATACTCATATATTTATATTCTTTCCCTGCATTCATTTATGCAGCGGTTAGTACAGAAAAAAAATTACTTTATCCTTGTTATTCACCAAGTGTTAAACAAGGATTAAATAATACTCTCTGTTCTAACTGCTGCGTAAACAAATGCACCCTTTAAGTTTTAATGGCTGCGTTCAGCAGAAAAAAGTTTTATAACTGTTGTAAGATTTTGTAACATAATTTGTTTATATATCTAGATCCCTGAGAAACTGAGGACACAAATCAATTATATTAAAGACTCTTACAACAGCTGCAAAACTGCTTTTTCTACTGAGCGCAGTCTATGATTTAATCAACGTTCCCCGCTTACCAGTTGTGTAATCTTGTTTTAGCAAGCAAAAAATCTCTGGTTATGCAAGGTTAAGGGTGAGTTAATTTGAATTTATATTGCTCCATCCTTTCCTCAATTATAATTCACCTTTAAACACAGAACAGCGCGTAAAGAGCAGCTCAGTTTTAAAATGCAGATGTCAACAATCCCTAAAATATAATGAACGTTACAAAAGTCATTCTTTACGTAATCTTTAAAGCGATAAATAACACTTAATAACGATAAATAATTTTTTTATGAAATGTATCCAGTCTTATCCGTTTATCAACATTGTATGAAAATAGCTACTCGTGCATCACTTTGGGAGGAGGAAAAAATCGAGTTTCTCCGTGAAGGTTAGGTGCGCTCGTAACGACTCGACGTCGTCGCGGGCGACCTTAGACATCGACATCGACATCGTCGCCGTCGCCGTCGCCGAACGCTTACCTTGGGATTGCCGTTGCCGAGCCAGGGAATAATATTGTCGATGAACATGCCGATGTCCTGGCACTCGATGCTCTTGCTCAAGTCGCCGAGGAAATTGAGCAGCGCGATGCCGACGTTGAGCTTCTTCTTGATATCCGTCGTTGACAGGAGCGGCATGAAGCCGTCCATATCACGCGGATTCACCGCCATGGTCGGGCGGAGATGCTAGACGTCGCACGTCGCCCCGTCACGTCGCCGTCGTCGTGGCTGCGCACGTCGTTCTCGTCGCCGCCTCCGATAGACGATCTCACCCGCGGGTTGTCCCTCGATCGCAAGACGGGACAAGGACGATACGCGGAGAGGTGCTTCTCACTCGCGCACGTCAACACACATTACCTCGCCGCGGAAAACGGAGATATCGCGTCCTTCGTCATGCCAACGGAGACGAGATCGGTTCTCGCGGCGAGAAGGAAACAACAGGAGGATTATCGCGAGTCTGCCGGTACCGACGAAGTCTGCACGATTTAATCACCGTCACTGCGATAGTCGTCGTCGTCGTCGTCGTCGTTGCCGCCGCCACCGCCGTTCGCCGTAAGTAACGTTCGTACGTGCGGCACGACCGCCAAGCGAACCTGGTTATTCAACGAGCGATTCTCGTATTACACGCACTACACGCCGATTAATGTCCGTCGTCGTTGTCGTTGAGACGCTCCGTTAGACGCCGTAGTCCGTACACACCGCAGCTACCCGAACACGAACGCGGCGAAACGAGGGATCATCGGCACCGTGCACGCGACGCCATTTTCGTTTCCCCATCATGGCGGTTGGTGTTCGTCGCGCCGCCGCGCCGCGCGCGCGCCGCCACTCGGCCGCCGAGCCAACTACGTTTCAAACGGTCGCGTCTGGTAACTGTCGTTTGAATTGCGTCGCGTGATCGTCACTTGTTCCGCGACCGTTGGGCATTGCCGCGTATTATATCGTTGCGCTTCGCATCTGCTGGCTACCCCTGTATGTTGCAACTCGTTATGCAGTCGTTATCATGATATAAAGACGTCGTATCGTGATCGTTATGAGTTCATATAACGACTGTTGTGCAGCTTTTTTTACTATCCCTGATGAAAATAAAAATCAGCGTAAGTCGCGAATGTAATTGGGGAGTAACAGAAGCGTAAACGAAACTTCTAGAAGGCGAAAATTGGAACAATGAAATGTAAAAGAAGCATTCACGCTTTTTTTACATTTTGATGTTTCAATTTTCGCCTTCTAGAAGTTTCGTTTACGCTTCTGTTACTTTCTGTTACTCTCCCATTACATCCGATTTACGCTCCGATTTTTATTTTCATTTAGGGATATAAAATATACATTGCGCAACTGTCGTTATGAACACATAACGAGTTACAGAATTCCACTGTTGATCGCATCATTGCGTCCGGAAAATATATGTCTGCTTGTTTTTCGCGAGATTAATTATAGAATCGTTTCTCCGATTTTTTTTTTTTCTGGACGACTTGAATTCGAGCGAACAATGAGGTGAGTCAAAATACGTGACTCGAGAAAAATGTTAAAAGAAAAAACCGTAAATAAAATTCAGCGCGGTAATTGATGCGTGAAAATAATACAATTAATAATTGAAAGATTTTACAACAAAATAATGCAACAATTAATTAAGAATTGGAATAAAACAAATAATTTTAATAATTGAGGTAATATTAAGTTAATTAATTGTTGCATAATTCTATTCACACTGATATTTTCCGTTCTTTCCTCTTAATGTTTAATATCGTGTCATAACTTATTAATAAAAATGCAGGGGGTCAATTACATATATATCTTGAAATGAAATGAAAATAACAAAAATGAGCAAATTCGTTGTTAAACGATTAATTACAAACATTCTAGTAAATATGTTCACTTTTGTAATTTTCACTTCGTTTCGAAATATATAATCGATCCTCTAATTTAATGTACGTTGAATGAGGCCACGATAAAGCCTGGCATTTATCGTTTATCCGTTTTTACAGAAGCGCAATGGCGATTACACCAGATTACACCTCGCGAGAATACGTGCAGCGTGAAGTTGCATTCGAACGAACTGAAGTCAGCAGTTCGATTTGAATTCGAACGGTTTCGATGGATGAATCATGTTCGTTAGACATGCGTTTCTGCGTACGCTTTTCGTAATGAGGTTTTAATGGAGGATAATGATGTATATATACATAGTTACATTCACATATACAATATTAGGTATGTACAATACAATTTGTTATCGTTATCGCTGTGCGCGTCCCCGCTCGCTATATCGTCGTTACTGAAAAACGCGGGGCAAAAAATACATCTCGCGAGCGCGACGACGCTGTGATTATGTGGAATTTCGATGAACGATCTACAGTCTCCGCTGCTAACAAAATTCTTACAATCTTTATTCATACGAAGTTGTACACTATTAGATATCAGAGGAACAATCCCTTGAGTTAAATAATATTTTGTTTTTAACTTTCACACTGAGAGAAAAATGCAAAATTTTAATAAATAAATATTTGTTTAAATAGTGCCAGTTGAATACTTACGTAAACATTTATTTATACAAGATTCATTAACTTAACTATTATATTTTTTTATTTAGCAAATATTTATTTTCCGTAAGCGTGAATGTTATATTAATAATATTCAAATAATTATTTGGTACATTTTTCTCTCAGTGTATGTGTGTCAAAATTTAATTAATTTCTACAATTAGTTTCAAAGTAAATAACGTCCATATTAATGTATATGCATTTAGTAAAAAATGAACTAAATTTGAGTCAAATTTAATACATTTCTTGAGTTAACTTAATTATTTTAATTCGTTTAACTTAATTATTTTAAATTAACAACATATTAAATAGGAGCAGGGGTGACCTATAGAAATTAAAAATAACTCAAATTATGGATATAATTTGGCATTATGAATTTAACAGTGCACATTACAACCTATATATATATGAACAGAAAGTGCGAGCGAAAATAATTGAGATCGACAAAGACACCATGGCGTCTCATTTTCATTCTTTTTTCCACGACTTTCGAGCGAATAATTCAAATGAGCGAATTACGCTTGTCGTGTTTTGTACGTACATGAAAATATTCGGCGCCAACTTTAACATTAAAGCGCGATCACCGGCTTTCGAGTAGATTGATTATATGTTACAGAAAAGTGGCAATAATGACATCTCCGTGAGCCTGTCTGTACACGTATAACACGCAACATTTTTTGATAGCGAAATCTGGGATGTGTTCCACTTGGCGTTTGCAACAAAGCTCGCGTGCATCATTTCATCTTTGTTCAATATTTTATAAACAAGGATGGAATGATACTTGCGAGCATTGCGTATGCCAAGTGGAACATACCCCTAATAACTGCAACACTATTTGTAATTAAATAATGTTGCACATTCACACGACATACACAGAGAGATCCTTTGACAAGTTGCGAGTCATAAAACAATCCCTTAAGAAGCACAATTGCCACCTTATAAAAATTGACGAACGCTGTATGAAAAGTGTCAATTAACGCCGGTTACAGAATATTACGCTCAAAATAAATAGGATCTGTATATGTATATATAACTTAATTTATATATAAATAATTTGTATATATATTATTAATTTATATTATATATATTACTCTTTATAAATAGCATATTGCATGCATCCTTTGCACTAATGTTTTCGTTCGACAATTGGAAAATCCAAAACTGAATGTCTAAAATCGCTAAGAGCTATATCACAATACGCAGCAATAAAAATGATGGAACTACGTTTAAATTTCACTCATTCCGAGTGTCTGAATCCGTTCGAGCAAGCCTTCGATCTATTATTATTACCATCATCGAGTATCATTCGACTATCCAGACTATTTTGTTCATAATAACTTGTATAACATTCGCTTTTCGCATAGCGATCTCGGAACACCCGTAAGATATTTATTGACAGGCACGCCTCGCGTCAGAACGAAAAATATTGAAAAATATTTTGCTCAACCTGACTGGAGTGACTACTGTCTTACTGTCGCGAAGCTTCGTATATGAAACAGCATGATTGCCAAAAAGCCGCGAAAATCCTGATCTGTGCTCAAAACGTGCTGTCACTGATCGAATAGCTTCGCGTAACGAATTATATTAATGGAACTCAAAACGAGTACTCTTCAGGTATTTACGATGCCAACAGTACGTTTTGCGCATAGACTTATGTACGTTTAGAATTGTTATTATTATGCTACGCTTATATATACAGTATGTTCCGCATTAAAGATAATCTGACCATCGCAGTCATAATTGGCATCTTGTAACTTTCTATATATGTTTTTTTTTTCTTTCGGTTGTACGCTTCGCGAGTAACTTAGTGGACCGACCGACCGTATTTTGATGAAGAAGAGATAGAGAGAGACAAGGAAGTGCTTATCCTGTGTCCATTTCTACCAACAAAAATTAACTTTAATCTCGGATTAACTTACCTTTATCTTCTCTAGTTCAAAAAATTAGAAAAAGATAAAGAATAAATTAAATCAAAATTACAGTTAATCTACATTACTAGAAATGGATCTTATTAAACCTTCGATTATCTTTGAACGTAGCGTGGTGAATATAATCCTTGTTTTATTCACCTAATTTGTCTAGATTGTTTGATATTTCGCTGTGATAGCACAATATTCTAATATATTTGTTAAACGCTCCGAGAGATTTTAACGTGATAATAGTCGCATGTAAAGGCAAGCAAAAAATAGTCGATGCGACTTGGAATAAATTTGTGTATGAGTATCTAGATTAAACTACACAATATCCTAGAAAAGTGACTACATATTGCTTTCTCAGCGACTGATGTTTCATAGTTTTACCAAATCTTAAATGTTAGAAAGATTTTATAGAATAAGTTCGAAAACACTCTTCACAAGCTGAAATATCATGTAAGCGTATCCACAAAAAATGACGTTAGGCTTTGTAGTGCCCGAGAAGCTAATGAGACATTTTTAACGCAAGTTCTGAATTGATTAAAAGCCTTAACCGATTATATTCTCTAAGCATATAAATATTACTTTTCTAACTAATAAAATAACTTGATAATACCGAGTAAAACCCATAAATAATGTCGGAATCAATCTGACGATTGCTTAGAAATACAACCTTTACTTTGCCCTGCTTTGTCCTATATCACATAACAGAAAAATCTACAACACGCAATAGACAGAAACATAGTATGATAATGCAGTAGCGTAACAGAAAGGAGATGTATCTTAATTATGTTACCGATTTATAATGATCTTGAACACTTTCTATTGTTGAATCTTTGCCACTTTGTCGTGCAAATTCCTCTGCGATAAGGCTATTGTTGCTGTAATTGTTGCAACAGCGGACATACTTCGACTAAGGGAGTTCCCAGAATCTCTTGGCATACTTGATTCATGTCCGGCTCCATCATGAGTGAAGAGATTTGATCCTCTGTTAGCATCTCCACGCTAATCGCAAGTTTGATAAGAAAAAGAAAAATTAAGATATCGTTGATTGATAAGAATATATCAGTATAAACTTACCTAGCTAAACTTTCGCTGTCCGACGTCTCCTCATCGGCATTAAGATAGCTCATTGTTTTTTCTAACGGACTTGGGACTTTCTTTCCTTTAACTTCCGACTTTTCAGACTTGTCAGACTTGTCCTTGTCTCTCTCCGCTGTCTTTGGTTCGCTGGAACGTCGTTCCGTTAAGCTAGATATGTTTAGCATCATCATGCCGTGATTAAGTAATTCCTTAACGCGTTCCCCGGTACCGCCACTCCACAACATATCGAGAGATTGTCTTCTACTTGAATTCGCTGAAATAACAATGTTAACGCATAAATCTACATCTCACAATATATGAAATTTGTCAAAGACGCACACATTCGTCCACTTACTGGAACTACCACCACTAGTTTCACCACCGGCTGAACTTCTAGTTATCCAATTAGCTAAGCTACCATCGAGCTTGCTTCTATTTTTTACTGACGGACTTCTCGTAACTTCGGCTTTTTTCTCTTCGCTTAAGGTAACTTCATTTACTTTCGACATTGTGGGTAAAGATTTTTGCGTTACTAATCTCCTTCGACTAGTTTGTTCTTTCGGCCGTTCGCTGGTGGCATTAATTGTCTGAGCAAGTTCTGGACTTAGATCCATCGGTAGCGGTTTGTAGGGAATTTGATCTTCCTCATCGGAATACACCTCATTATTGTAATAAACTTCATCCGGCGAATTGTTCAGGCTAATTTCCGTCCACTCCTCTCCGTTTTGAGAATTAGTAGAATTATTCTTGCGATCGTTTACAGGTGTTTGAATTTTGACTCTCTTTTCAACCGGAGATATAATGCCCGACAGATCTGTCAGGCCTGGTGCAGAAGAACTTGTATGATTTAGAGATACGATATGTTTCGAGTCAGTCGCAGCGATACTTCGTGGACGGTCCCGTTTTATGTATTTACGAGGTTCGGTGGATGAAAGGTTCAGATTATTTAGGCCCAGGTATTCCGACGATGAATCTCTCTCGATCTGAAAAAAGCACAATTTATCGATTAATGAAATTAAAAAGTACGGTTTGCCAAGAATGTACACTTACTCTTGTAGGCATCGGACATGGCACGTTCGGACTCATCTTATCGGGAAGGCGTAAGTATTCGTCACTAGTGTAATCTGTGCTGTCTGGAGATCCAGTTACACTGGAATCCGTTGGAGTCGCCGTGTTAATTTGCGCAGCGGAGCAATCGGGCGCGTCTTGTGTACTTTTATCGTATTCGTCCATACCGTCGTATCTTCTTGTCTGTCAGCAAAAGTATAATGAAAATTTTACACAGTTCGAATCACATTATATTCACACAAGTCTATATTTATACCCTGTGAATCTCGTCGCTGATCTTTTCTAAATTTCGTAATGCTTCCGCGTACGAAGCTTTTGCTTCGCCAACTGATCTCTCCAGTGCACTGACTTTCATCTTCTGCTCCTCCAGCATTTGATTAAAGTGCGCTTTCATCTCATAGTAAGGCCTATGTAATTATGTAATATTTCATTAAGTTGGAGCTATGTAAAAATGATATGTTTTTACAATCAGCATTTGAATGTAGTATAATGTATTTATGCACATGTAACAATTTGTTGCATGGCAATTTGATTAGGAAGAAGCAACTTGATAAATTTTGTGTGCAGTACATCTATCGTGAAAGGATCAATAAAAAAACTAGCAAATTGTACATTCGAAATATTCTCAAAAATATATAGTAATTCATGCACAATCAGGATGATGATTAAAATGAATGAACAGAGAGCTAGTTCGATGACACAATAAAAATAAAAATGTCGTGTATTTAAAAAAATAAAAAAGAATATCTATCCTACTTACAACATGAGCAAGTTGTGCCTGTAGGCGATACTGTTTATCAGAAGCAAGCTGCGGCGTGCACCCATACTGCCAACATGAACATATAACCAAAACACATAAATACCATAAGAGGTCTATAGAAAACAACATAAACGTTCGATAATCATTCGAAAGTAATTCGATGATTATTTAAGTAGAGATAAAATATGTCAATAGCAACAGGAAGAAACAATAAGAGGTTTTGTATATAAAACATTTATCGTGTTCCGATACATTAACTTGGTTGTATACAAGGTTTTAGCTCTTCGAAAAGTGGTTCATATAAAAAAATAACTATATGCGGTAATTTCATGCATTATAAAAAACCATTGGGAAGGTAGGTATACTCGAGCTCCATTAATGAGAGGGTGGCAGGTTCCTTACATACCTAGATTTAGCAATAGTACGCTTCAATTCACGCTGCAACCTTTGAACTTCGTGTTCCGCTTTGTGATATAATACAGTTGTGTGCCTATGTTCAGCTTCAGAGAGAGCTCTCTCATGCTCCGACTCATTAACTCGCGACGTAGCATGATTCAACATTTCCTATAATATATTTCATTACTTGCGTAATACCTTGCGTATAATTTTTCTCAAGACTTGACATTGAAGAGTCTTACCTGCCAAGCGTGATCAAAACATCTTCCTTCGGTCCGTAGTCCTTCCTCGGCTAAGTAAACCATTTCTTTGGCTGCTGAATGTTGACTGTTGGCTCTCTCAAATCTAATCGCAGCCTTCTGCGTTTCTTGTAATGCCTGAAATAAAAATGTTTATAAATTCTTTTATAAATCTAACCATAGAAATGCATTAATTATCTAAATATAAATATTCTTACCTCCTTTGCTTTAAATCTAGCGTCATAGTATGGTCTGGATTTTTCAATGCAAGCTCCAAGTTTTTTAGCCAAAGCGTCAATCTTAATTGTCGATTCACAGAGTAATTCTCTAAAGGTTGCTCTTGCTTCCTAAACACGATGAAATAAAATTTTCTATTAGACGGAAAGAATGGAATATAAGATGTATAAGATGTATATAATTCTTATACAATTCCTACAATCTCAAATCAAGCCACAATCTCAAATTAAAAATTATTTCTTTGAAGCCATCATGGACTGTGCTGTTAAGATCATCGTTTCAAATCATTATCCATTTACATGTATCTTACACAGCAATCATCTCAATGAAATCTAATCGCAACCAGTTTCAAAACTTGTTGGCAATTTTGTTCCTCAAGCATCGTTCATGTATATATCGCAATGCGAAATCTAGACAGGCAAGGGACAATTACAAATGCAAGGTCATGCTTTAATAAAAATTAGTACTTACATCTAAATCAACTTCTAGTTTATTAATATCGTCCGTAGCTGTGTTTAATCTTTCAAGTTCAATCTGAAACAAAATATCATACATTTCTTCAGAAAACATTAAATTAGATATCATTAAAAAAGTATTTTTTTATCTTACATGCTATAATACATAAAAGTTACACAAATTTTAAACATACGCGAATTTTTTATTCGAGCAAACAATTTACATTTCATCCCTCTCCTTGAAATGTTTATATGTGAAAAGTAATTATATATATATATATATATATATATATAGTAGCCCCATTCATTGTGCTCCAATTTCTCGCGTCGAGACGGAGTTACCGGGCAACAAGGGTAATTTAGCACGCGCTATCGTAGTAATAGGCCTTCACAGCCGGGTGGGGGACAAAGGGGGATTAAGAATCGGGGACGTTTTATAACTCGTGCGTGTGTGTGCGTGAGTGCGTGCGTGTGTGTGCGAGCGGAGGGAGAAGGAAAAGTAGAAGACGTTCACGAAGGAAAATGGGACTGGCGTTACACACCGAGACTCGCGATGAAGCACACATCCTACGACGCGATTCTTTCCGTACGGTTTAGTATCGCGGCGAGGCTTCTTCTCGCCGACGACGAGAGTGTCGCGGGGGCTCCCCCCTCGCGGTTGTTCCGTCTGGGCGACGCACACGCGGACGGCGGCGACACTCACCTGCACTCGCGGATCCACTGCATCGTCGACGCGATCGGAATCATCGGCACTCTCCTTCTGCACACGTTCGCTCATAATTAAATCTAGAGGATGGATTTTATTTACAGCTCTCCCATGCCACCTGTGTGTATCGTCTGCTAGACATCAGGTGGCCATGTTGGACGTCAAAACGTATCACCGCGGCGAGCAGGGCCGTCTCCACACTGCCTGCTTGAACGGGGAAGCATGCGCCTTCTTCCTCGCGGGAGAGCTCTCGAGCTCTCGAGAGCTCCCACGGACCTGGAAATGTCATCTGAGGTTGCGCGATAACGAGACCGGACATGCAAATTTACTGCATCGGATCGAAGATTACATCATTGAATTTATGATTATATTGTAAGGTTTTTCTATTATATATATATCTATTAATGTTCTTAATATAAGATTCGAATATAATAGTTTATTAAATTTTACAAAGTTATAAAAATTGAGACAAAAGTTAATAGTAAACAAAAGGAGCATACTTTATATCATTATATATATGTATAGGAAAAAGACTTGTTTAATAGATAATTTGTACAAAGATCTTGTATTTAACTTTTATGCTTCTTCTATTGATTAAGTATTTTAACAAACCTTATAGTAATATTTAAAGCTTTATTGTAGATATTATTAACAAGTACATTTCTTTAATATATTAATACGTGTGTAATCGTATTTTTGTATTTCTTGCTTTAAGCATTTTCGAAATTTTAAAGACGCAGCTAAACGTGGAAATTATTTTATTGCTTATTCAATGAATAATAACCCTTAATTATTAAATATTCAATCTAATATTTCTAAATATTCCTTTTTAATTAAAATATTCTGTCCAGATTTCTCGCGCGCATTTGACTTTTCCCGCCGACCGCCATGGCGCCGTGGCCGGCCAACATGGCGTTGGGGACAATTCAAGATGGCGGACGCGAGGAGTACTCCGGCAGGCGGCGTGGCGCGCGCCAATCCCGCGTGGCTCTCAAACGTATATTTCGCCGTTCGCACTTTGCGGCGCTTCGCAGTTCGCACTCTTCGCACTGGTGAGTCGCGTGTCCGTCCGAGCGGGTGGATTACAGTTCTCCGTGGAAAGCGGCGACGTGCCCGACCAAAGAACGTCAGTCGCTGAGCAACACAACGATCTGTCGCGGCCGGTAAGTGAAAACATAACACACATTGCGCATCGCACGCTTTCAGGTCTCTCCCTCTCTCTCTCTCTCTTGCTCTCTCCGAAAGAAAAAAAGAATCCTTTGAATTTCCCTCGGGTGCCCGCGTGTGCACCTGAAGAAGGTGGAAAATGTCTTTCGGGGAGCACCGTGCGGAGCGCGCGACTCCGACTTTCTATTTCGGTATTTTTATACGAGGAGAGACAAGCGCGCGGTTAACTTAACGGTGGAGAGAACGCGCGCGCAAAGGTCGAACCGTCCTCCTTCGTCGTCGGTTTCCGAGGAAGGGTAACGCGCAAGGTGCGTGTCCTCGCGATCCGGTCCGGTTGCCTTCTCCCGTCTGTTCTCTGTTTATCGCCGACTCGTCCCGCGTTTGATTTTTGATCAAAGACCGGCTGCGATCTTGATTCTTGCCACGGGATATCTCGTGGTTGCGCCGTGCGCGACACCAAAACAAAGCTTTCGCGGTTCCGGGAATCGAAAGTGACACACCAGGTGTGTACCCGATAGAGATCCTATAAACAGAGTCTGGTTGCAGTAATTTCGTTAAAATAAATAACGCATGTTCTACAATGAGTCGTTACTCGAATTTTAATTGGCCTACAATAAGCCGCAAGTCAGAACGTCAGAAGTTTTAACCAAGTCGTTCAAGTTGGCTATTGACCAACTTCACCGATTATGACTTAATATCGCTTAGAACTTTTGACTTGCGGCTTATTGTAGAAGAGAGAGGGCTGTAATTCTTAAGCCGTTAGAAATTCACCGGTTACAGAATGTGAGAATTATCGACTATGATCAATTGTTTACGGTTTAAAGCTTAGGTAATGGCTTATATAAAAAAAAATCCATAATAAAAAGAAGGATGTACATTGTCTCTTATGTCTATATGACATATACTGTCTCTTTTTACGTATGCTATCTCATTCTAACTTATACTATCTTATTTAAGTATGTTAAACACACACACACAAGGACTCTCTTTAAAATACAAACAAATACAAAATTAATCCGGGCTAATGAGAATCAGCGCGAGCGAAGGTGCGCAATAAAATTTTAACAAATAAATTTGTTACTCCATTCGATACGTTGATGTCTCCTTTATTTAAAATCTTGATAAATCTTGAACGTTTCGGTTCTCCTTGGAATCTTCGTCAGCAATATTCGTAATCCATATAAGACTTCGCAAACGGTCAAGGTAGAGTCACTCACAAATTGCCAAATCTGTATAAGTGTAATCCACATGATCGCCAAATCTCATTATAAAACTTTGGATGATATTAATATTCACAATTAATCACTTTTTAATACATATTATGTAGATTTAATTGAACTACGTCTAAGCTATCCGGAGTGACGAATAGATCATCTATCTTATTTATTCTGATTTACTAAAGTTGACAAAAACTTATCGTTTCATGGTCAGATTTTGTAATAGAACCTCTAAAGCTGCTTTCCTTTTAAAGGACATAGTCGATACAAACATCATTCTATCCTTCTGGATACTTAATGAATAACAAAGATAAAACGAACGTCACTTGTGTCTCCTAAATAGAAAACAGCTTAATTTACTGTAGGTCCGTCCTTTTTAGCTGAATTTCTTGTACAGTTTATCTTCTCTCCTTTTTTTTCATATCTGGAAACTCTATATTTTATACTGTAGCTGCTAGTCGACACAAACGTTGTTCTTTCCTTCTTGAACATTCAATGAATAAACATTCTTCTCGACATGCAATGAATAACAAAGATAGAACGACATTTATGCCGATTGTATCTCCCAAAAGAAAAGCAGCCTGTGTCTTGTATCGGAAAGTATCTGTAATTTTGATAGGCAATCGATCTCCGGCAGGGAGGTGGCAACCGTGATCGAAATCCGGAATTGTATCTGGGTACCTATCATTGAATAAAGTCGGAATGGAGTCCGATCGGAATTATTCCGTTTTTCCCAGAAAACACAATAGAAATCTAGGGAATAATTGAATAATTCCGATTGAAATCAATTCCGAACATTTCCATAATAGGTGCCCTGGCTCCGAATCTGTTTACCTACTCCAGTGTTTATCTGTGCGTGTTCTCGAGTCGTGTTTTTGTTTCGTGCGCTCACGGAAATTCCACGGGAAGGATGGGATCGAAAGTACATTACCGGTATTTGACAGAATTGAACGAAGGGCCCCTGTGCAAGTAATCGTAAAGCGATAATGTAAGCGGCCTCGCGCGATCAGGTTGAATTTCTGATGTTGCGCACGGCGAACTGACCCAAGGACGTCCGTGGAAACATTCGCACGCGAGTGTCTTCAAATGTCAGAAGCACTTTTACCGTAGAGGATTCACCATTTTCGTGCTTCTGCTCGTCTCTTTTTAATCGATCAGATGACAAGAGAGAATTTAACCGAATTTAACGGATCCCGTCAAACGATCGACGATCCACTAAACGTGTATGTTTTGTCTATACCTAAAGAATAGTCGTCTCGTCACAAACACCTGATTGTCATTTATTATTAATCCTTAGTACGTGATTTTTCGATCTTTTATTAGACACGATGGGTCATTCATGTCCCAAATTAATTTTCGTTTACTTTAACAAATATATAAATATTATCCTTACATATATTTTAACATTTTTAGAAAATATTTGTAAGGTGGTTACATTTAAAAAAATATAAATTCTATATAAATATTATAATTAATTACTTGATGCTTTTAATTTTTTGAAGAAAAGAAATGTGCAAGACACGAATAATCCAATCGTGTATATTAAGGGTTATTTATCGTTTATTATTATATGGCACAATGCCATTCCTTGAATATTGAAAAGGTTAACGACGCGCAGATAACGTTTTGTATCGTACAAACGCCCACTCTTTGTCGTGTTCATGACTCGTCTCTGAAATCGTTTTAAAGCACAGTGAATAACATGAAGAAAGTAACCAATGCTACGATTATTCGTAATCGATTTAGAATTAGCTATCTTTGTTTAACTTGCAATCGCAAATATTGACCGCGTTCAGCAGAATGTTTACTTTGCTTATTTTGTTTATTTTTCAAATCTTTATCTTGCTTATTTTTCGACTATTGACATTTTTTCGCGCAGATTGGATTATACTTGTAGATTTGGAGGAATAATCATAGGCGTAGCCAGAACTTTATTTAAGAGAAGCCAAATTTGAGTTTAGACTTTTGGATCCGAGAGAAAGAAGGGTAGTTGAGTGATGTGAACTATTGAATTTTTTTGTTTTACTGTTATTTTTAATTAATTACTAACAAATCACAAAATCACACATATTTAGTTTACTAATTTAGTTTATTTTTCTCTTAAAATTGCAAACTAATTCTGGAACTGGAAAAACTTAAACATTAATCATTTTGGATTCTCAGAAATCTTTCTATAAAACTTTTTTACCTCCAATTCTTTCTTCTTTCTTTGTCCCCAAAATTAATTTCTTGTGAATACTCATTAAGCAAAATCCGTTTAAGCTGTTTTAATTATTTTTGTTCTTTGAGTTCAGGAATGGAGGACCTCCCTGACTTTTAGGAGTAATCCTTCTTAACGAAAAGAAAACTCCCAACAGTTGCAAAATAAACATTGTGCTAAACATGGCCATTAATAATCGAGTGATAAATAAAAAAATTTAAGATTCAACATCGAATATATTAAAAAATATATATTTAGAAATTCCAGTTTCCTTGAAATTCTCGTAAAAACAATAGAGTTTTGTTCGCAGAACGATGGGAAAAGTGAGGAATCAGTCGCCGTGAGTGATGAGTCCCTCCTCGCGCACGAATGAACATCGTCGGCGACAATAACGGAATTCCTCGAAATACGGTATTTGCGTGTCGCGCGCGTTAATCAAGCTCTAATGATCGTCGCGCGAGCCATCTTCCGCCAAAATGATTGATTAATCGCCACTTTCAATTAGACGGGAATTAGTCCGTCACCTAGTGCGTGGAAATGAGTAATACTCGGCGTTTGCTCCGC